TTTTTTTTTTTTTTTTTTCAGTCCTTCTGCTTCCACAGAGTGTGAATTGCTTCAGGATAATCAAGTATTGTCAGGCAAAATGTTATTTTTGTAGGCCAATACACTGTAAATAAATAAAGTGTTTGCCATTTGGTTGACCACAGAAGTCATTAATATCGGGGCCTGAAGCTGGATTCAAGTTTTGCCCTCCTTTGAGTGTGTTCCTGTGATGAATGGAGCGACTCTGGGCTAAAGTTAAACACATTCACCCATGGCATCTAAATATAGATTTCTTCCTCTGGTTGCAAAACCTATGGCAAGGATTAGAGAATACAGAGTCAGCACTGCTCTGACAGTTCTCGAAATCTAGTGGAGAGGGAAAAATTGAGGGTAAAAAAAGACATCCAATATCCCAGACAGTCCGAAACCATTCATATTATTCACTCGTTTCATGCAATCCAGGCTAAATCGAGCCAAACTCCAAACAAGCAAAAAGTTTCAGGCTTCTTAAAGGGTTTCAGAAAGTGGAAAAAGAACACGAGCACCAGTGTCAGAAATGTTTTTATTAGAAACCTTTTATTTAGAAGCAATTTTTTTTGTGATTTTAAGGGGAACTTTTTTTTAAGCCATATAAAAGTGTACAGGTGCATCAATTAACATACTTTCCAGAAGGCCAACAATTCATTAAAAATGTTTTTTTTTATTGGTCTTATGGAGTATTCTAATTTGTTGAGATAGTGAGTTGGTGGGTTTTTGTTAAATGTGAGCCAAAATCATCACAATTAAAAGAACCAAAGACTTAAACTACTTCAGTCTGTGTGCATTGAATTTATTTAATACACAAGTTTCACAATTTGAGTTGAATTACTGAAATAAATGAACTTTTCCACGACATTCTAATTTATTGAGATGCACCTGTATTACTTGTCCTGTCAAATGCTTAAAGGTATGTTTAATCTTAATAAATATGGCTATTACTTAAAATCATATACATATTATAATATACAAGACATGCATTACCATTCAAACGTTTGGGGTCAGTAAGATTTTTGAATGTTTTAAAAGATTTCTTATGCTAACAAAGCTGCATTTGCGGCATCTTTATGATCCGAAATATATTAAAACAGTAATATTTGAGTAATATTTCCTACTGCAATAAGGCAGGCAAACTCTCTTAACATTTTTAAATCTCGCCTTAAAACTTATTTCTTTAGGGTAGCGTTTATTTAAATTTTTATATTGTTTTTATTTCTAATGTGGTTTGAATGTGTTTTTTCTGATTTTCATACATTTTTATATGGTGTACTTTGATGTTTTATTTGTTATGTAAAGCGCTTTGAGAAGTAACATTTAAAGGCGCTATAGAAAAATAAAGATTATTATTATTATATTGTGAAATATTATAATATTTTTACAATTTTAAATAAATATTTTCTATTTTAATATATTTTAAAGGAGTCATTACTTCGGTGTCACATGATCCTTCAAGACACATTTATTATTATTATTATTATCATTATTACCAGTGTTGGAAAAAAGTTGTGCAGCTTACTATTTAATACAACAGCTATTGTTAAAAATTAGTTTAAAATGATCAAAAACTGCCTATTATATTTATGTGGAAACTGATAATTTTATAGTGGTTTTCAGTATTGAATGAATTTAGTTCTGTAAAAAATAAATAAATACAAAAATAAAAAAAAATAGAAATCCAAGATGGTGGACAAAATAATCATCATTAACATAATCATCACAATCATCAATAATAATCATTATAAATGCAATTTATTTAGTGCTGAAAACTTGTTAAAAATAATTTTAAAATCACTATTGAAAACAATTATGCAGCTTAGTATTTTGTTGTTACCGTCACTTTTGATCAATTTAAAGCACGCTTCTTGAATAAACATTAATTTATTTTAAAAAAGGCAAAAAAATATAATTTCACTATAGGGACAATTTTATAATAATAATAATAATAATAATAATGTATATAAATCAAAAATATTTTAAATATAATTTTTAAATATAAATATACATTTTAAATATAAATTCCCTTTTGATAGCATTTCAATCTGTGTATCATTCGATCATTTGTTTTTTGATTTAATATTGAAGGTAGAAAAATTAGAAAACGGCTCCTTTTCCGTTTTTTCGTTTTTTTCCAAAAAACGAAAAAGAGAATTCAGCTTAAATTTTCGTTTTTCGTTCATGAGTGGAAATTAAACGCCCCTTTCTGCTGATTGGTCAGTCGAAGATCAAACCGTGCCATCATCAGTTCTTCTGCAGTATCATGCAGCAGAATAATAGTCCTCCACTGCTGCAGTTGTACAGATTCTTAATGCATTTATTGCAACTACATTTAATCTTTTTTCATCAAACAAACAGGCTAATGAATAACTGGACACAACTCATACCGGGGCAGAGTCTAGACAGGGCTTTCTTCTGTGTAGATATAAATTCTATTTTTTGCATCAGCTGGGCATGGCAGGGTATGATATGACAGCTGCCATAGCTTACCCTGCTCACCCAGTAAGTATGTTTGTTTAATTAAGATAATTAATTCGTTTCAAAATAAATATTTTAAACACTAAGACAAAAAGGAAAGAATAATAAATTGGCTTGGGTATATACAGTATAGGCCTATGTTCACGCAAGAACTGTCATTCTGACTGACAACCGGAGAACAACAGATATTAAATAGCCTACTGTTAGAGTTATATAATGTAGTCTTGTGTTTTATTAAAATTGATTATAATTGATATCTCAAAAGGATATGCACTTGTGCGCAGCGTGAGCTGCTGCACACTCGCGCTGCAACACAAGAGTTTCATAAAATATAATAACTTGCCATTTCGGTTTGTTTCTCACCAAACCCTCAGTATACCTTCAAAATGCTTGTAATATACGCCACGAGATGCAT